AAGATATACACAAATAAAAAACCAAAGTCTCAAGGCTATTTTATTTCTAATCACTATATTTTTCACGGGTCTTACATTCAACCCTCCTTAAAAGAATTTTCGTTCCCGAAAATTTATCTACTTACCAAAAAGATAAGGATACTCCTTCTTCATAACTTCTTCTAACTCCTAAGTCATTTCCTACGTAGCTTCATCCCAAAGTACCTTCAATGTACAAATGTCCTTTCCTCGTAACGTCTTAGTTTGTACATCTAACACCCGTATTGGTCTTACATCTATGGTTAAATCTTCTTTCACTTGAATGTTATCCACTTCCAACCCATGACTTGGATCTGGAACTTACTTCCTCCATTGTGATACATGAAAAATTATAAAAGGCACACATTTGCGAAAGTTTAAAACTAATGTTCCTTGAACAATTAGATAAATTAGGGAACATGCAATCAATATTCTCCAATTGCAAACCATTTTCCAGATGGCTCAAATTCCCATCTTTTATATAACCATCTACAAGACATCTTATATGTTTTGCATCATTTACATTATTGAATAAGCGTTTAAACTATGGAACAAGAGGAAGATACCATAAAAAAATTTCAAAAGGACCCTTAGTGTCACATTTAGACTCACCATTTTTTTGTTTGTATCATGATATCCCACATTATGGATATTGATGTAACTTGGCAAACTCACTCTTGTATAAGACACAATTGTTTGGGCATGCATGAATTTTTTATACTCCATACCCATGGGACACAATATATTCTTTGCATCATAATGGCGTGTTGGCCATGTGTTACCTTCAGGAACCATGTCACTCAGTAACTCAAGCAATTATGTGAAGCTTTTATCAGTCCATCCATTTCTTGTCTTCACATTGAACAATTTTAATATTGTTGACAATTGAGTATACTTAGTTCATTCTGGATACAAAGGTTTTTTTGCGTCATTGCACAAGTTATTACGCATGAGCACGTTAGAAGGAATCATTTCCAACATCACGTATCATGTCTTCTAACTGATCATCCATCTGTAATAACCTTTTTCTACTTTTACTTGAGACTCATCTACACTTAGAATTTCTATTAATCCACCATGTCATGTCCACTTCATGTAGCTCTTTAGCAATCTGTCACAAAGAACATGCTCCCGAATAACTTTCAGTTGATAGTTTTCACTTATTTAAACAATTAACACACATGCAATAGAATCTTCTATTATTGTTTGAAAAATTCATCTTTGCAAATTCAAGAAAATTTTTCTACTTCACTCTTGATTCATTTGTTGTGCATATAAAATTTATCCAACTTTGATCCATTATTATCTGTAAAATTCAACACATGTGCTTTTAGGTGGTGCTAAGAAATAATTAAGCACACATTAAGGGTTTCCAATTTGTTGGACAACTTATTTGGTTTGATAATAAAAGATTATGGTTGCATATAAAAAGAACGAGTTCACTCATTTCATCTACTTATGATCATAAACTCATTATAGTTTAAGACTTAACTCGAAATCATAACATATCATTCACATAATGCATGTGAGATACGAAACTGGTCTATACAACGCATATGACCTAAGTTCTATTCACAACTTACCAAACTAAAATATTTGCTTAAGTGCTTTCAGTATTGTAAGCACAAGGGATTAATACTTATAAGCTTAGTGGCTTGTTTAAAGCCTAAGGCTCAACATGAACTATGATGACAAAAGTATTAACCACAACATAGTTTCCCTACAACTTGTGTGTTGCCTCCAAGAAGCCAGTAACAAAAGGTACTTGTCAAAGATAGGCCCAACATACATTAAGGAGGTCAAGCAAAGAGGAAGGACCACTTCTTATCAAACAGACCCTCTAACTAACATATTAATAATCTATTTCTAAACTATTTGTTAAAACTCTTTATTTTCAATGTCCATAGTGAAGCTTGAAACTTCTTTATCCAAAAATCCAACACATACATACATTTTATATTCAAATGTACATTCATAATTCACCAACATCATAAAAACTTAGACATTAGGTTGAAATGCTAACCTTTTCTAATGAAGAAAATGCATACGAGGTGGACGGTAAAGGCAATTGAGTGGACAAGAGAATATGATGATGACGCCAAATACACGATGCGACGACGATGGTGACACAACAACACCACAACAACACACCAAAAATCATCATCGTGAATGACGTTCATCGAAGAAAACTAGAGAACACCCGAACGTGACGAGAACATTCTTTATTGCAATAACAACAAAGATGAAACGCAACAAAAATGACAAGAAACTTTGCACAATGACGAGAACAAGGAGAGCAAAGTGATCAGTGTAGATGCAAATGAGGTGTGGCGCGAAAGCTGTGAAGAAGAATTAAACATTCTATATCGGTTAAAATGAGAAATCGATATAAAAAGTAACTTTCTATATCACTTTTAGGTCTAACCGTATAGAAAACCTTTGTAATTTATTACAACTTTTCCACTACATCGCTTTCTATACCGATTCTAAGTCTAATAGGCATAGAAAACCTTTGTATTTTATTACAGATTTATCACCTTGTCACTTTTTATATTGGTTCTAGATCCAACTAGTATAGAAAATCTTTGTATTTTATTACAAATTTTCCACCACGCCACTTTCTATATTGTTTTGATCTAGAACTGGTATTGAATGTCTTGTTACAATCATGATAATTTCTATTTGCAATCATTATTAATTTGATGTTCAATCAAATAGATAATTTCCATATTCATATGATTTGACCATTTAATTTGAAAACATTCTTCTTTCAAAGTAATTAACGTTGTGAATCTTTTAATTCAATTTTGATTTCAAATAATCAAGTAAAATTACTCTTTCAAGTATTCTATCAATAATTATATGAAAGTAATAACTTAACCAAATTGATCAAGATCTTTTAAGCTCATCTGATTTGGGTAGTAGTTTGATGTTTCCATTCATCTAATGCTTTGATTCATTTGGCCAATGCATTTGTCTAGTTGATTTGAGGCTTTCAGTGTTTGAGTCGTTTGGTCAATGTTCATCTGGTTAATACTATGACTGTCATTCATTAGTCATCTAGGCTACTCGTCTAGTGAATATTATGACTTTTATACTTGAGTCTTCTAGTCAAGACTCATTTGTCAATCTTCTTTGTTATGATTCGTTTGGTGTATGTTCTCTTCTAGTACATGTATTTGTCTAGCTCGTGTGTTAAATGTCAGCTTATATAATCACATATTAAATATAACACAATAATGATTAAATATTTGTATTACTATCTAAAAAATATATTAATTTGCAATCATAGTTGTTTAACACTTTATAATATTGGTATCACTTCTATTTCCTCCTTATCTTTAATCTTAAAGAGACTCTGAACAATATTCTTTTAAGAAAGCAACATATGACCATTGTAATTTAAGTGTCTTAGTCTCTTATGCCACAGACAATATTTATTTTCTTCTCTTTGTCACCAAGTTGAGTTTTATGTTATAATTAAAAGAAAGTGGAAAGCATTTGCTATTTGTCATTTTCACAACAACAATAACTTTTCTTTTTGAATAAAACATTTTGTACACTTGATTCTCAAATCAAAGAGAATAGTTGTGCTCCAAACATTTTCCAATAATACTTAATGAATTTTAGTCTAATTTTTTCACATAAAATATGACGTTGGCACCTTGCTTTGATATGACACCAATTCTGCCTTTTCCTTATAATTTAACTTTGGAGGCAAATGAAGAATCCATATCACCAAAAGTATCTTAATCTCCAATTATATGATTATTGCAAGTGTAATAAAAAATAAGAAACATTATTATGTCCTTGAGTTGTCATTTTATAAGCAAAGAACAAGTTTCCTTCACCTTGTTTTGCTGCTGCTTAGGAAGATGAATTATGTTGTTTATTGCAAGGTGACAATCTTCCGTTTCTTTTCCTTTCTCAAACTCTCTTTTGATGTTTGATGTTGACCGTTCTCACCTTTAAATCTCCTTTAAATTATTGTTTATTGTAATAATACATTCTTCATACCAATAACTTGTGCATAAATCAATTCTAACTATTAAATAATCTCGTCATTTTTTCTTATTAGTTTTTCTTTTCTACAAGTATTATAAAAAATAATCTACAGACGTATTATTTTCTTATGGGACCATATTCTAAACATCATATTTGGGTATACTTAAAAATTTAATATATAATACGATAAAATATATTTGGACGAGTCTTTCATATATTGGGTTTAATATTTGCGTGTCCATCAGGGCCTTGTTCATTGGTCAAAGTGTATTATGTCAGCTTGCATACCTTGATTTGAATTCCACTTTAAAATCTTTTTGGTTTCCCATTTGACTTTTCACAGCAGGAAGGTATAGCATACATATAAATTCAATTAAAATACTTGTATTCACCAATAATCTATATTGAAATCCCATATTAAAATCATATTACAATAGTTGCAAGTGAGGTAAATAGTAATATTTAACCCTTTCATTATGTAGCTGCATAAATGGCATTAAAATATAGCAGCCAACTTAATTTAGAGAATAAAATTACATGTTAATAAGTTACATTAATTGTATTTACGAAAATAAAATATTTAACTTGTGTCACATTTCCTTTTCAAAATTATGATTCTGTCATAGTGAGTTTACTATACATTCATTTTTGGTATAAAATCCAAGACTTGCACGCCACTACACCATAGAAAACGGGCCAGTATACTTCTACTTCTACATTACATTATGACAGCAATTTTTTTTTCTATATTATTTTTATAACTTAGCTAAAGTGTCTATGATCCTTTGGATGTAAATATATAGAAAGTATTGAAAATGGAGTGAAGTTTGAAAGGAAAAAATATGATGAGATAGGTTATATCTGAGTCGTAAAATAAAATATATGAAAATGAAAGTGTTTTTTTATGGTGAAAATGTGAACTTGTACCTAGTTACAGTGGAAATAGATGTGAGATCTAGGAATTGAACTGAGATGTAATGAATGCTGTGGTTACTTTCTAGTTCTACTTGTTTTTGCTTTACAAAAGGGCTGATATTCTCATCTTCCATTACGCATCCATCATAGGTATACCATACCTACTAAAACTGAGCGACAGATCATAGCATATCATGTGATAAGCTAGCTTATATATACACACAAACAAGAGGTGGAAGGGAAAATTTGCAGAAAATAGCTGGAAAAAAATATCTAATCTAGAATTATGCTGCTTTTCCATCTGCTATTCTGAAAAAGCAAGTTTAGTTTTATTTGCGGAAAGAGATATAAAGAAATTTGCAACAATAATATGGGTAGGGGAAAGGTCGAGCTGAAGAGGATTGAGAACAAGATAAACCGTCAAGTGACATTTGCAAAGAGGAGGAATGGGTTGCTCAAGAAGGCTTATGAACTCTCTGTCCTCTGTGATGCTGAGGTTGCCCTCATTATCTTCTCCAACCGTGGCAAGCTCTATGAGTTCTGCAGTGGCCCTAGGTACCCAAACCCCATCAACCTTTTTCTTTCTGTCACTCAGATTTTCTGCTTTTCTTCAACTTCTCGGGCTGTTTTCTTTTCTGGGGTTCTTGATTTTCCCTCCCTGCTTTCATGGGCTGCTTAAAGTTCACATCTTGCTGCTGATTAAGTGGTCTGTGCTTGTGTTTTTCTTTAGGGGTTTGTGTTTCATGAATTTTTGTTATGTTTGTTGTTTTCCTTTGTCTTTGGTTTCTGTGTCTGATTTGTAGGGCTTGATCAAGGATGTGTTGTTTGTTTACGGTTTTGTCTCTTCAATTTTGTTTTCATCTTCCTTACAATTTTCCTCTCTTTTTTCTTTACAGTCTCAGATTCATGCTTTTCGGTAGAGTTTTTATTGGAAAGCAGCTACTGCCTTCTAGATCTTTTTGATTCAAAATTTTAGCGTGACGATTCTAGTTCATACAAATTATTCTTCTCTAATTATATCTTCATCATGGTTGAATTTTAATTTATGGTTTTGATTGGTGATTAACAATAATTATATCAGTTTTTTTTTCATACATGTACTGAGCTAAAACATCTCATTTTCTTCTGTTTTATTCAAAATCTAAACTGTTGTAAATGGTTTTTCTGTATAATAAAATTCAATGATTATAATTTCCTTTTCCTCAAAATGTTTTGTAAATATTTATCTCGTTTGCAGTGGAACTTTCTCCTCTTAACGAGCTCTGATGAAAATTAATGAGGGGGAAATCTCTGTGGTCTGTTTTGCAGCTGCAAAATTTCTTGCAATGAGTTGACATAATCAGAATACTGTGATAAAAATTATTCATGAATTTTGAAGTACTTTCCTTTTGGATTAAGATCCTCTAGAGTTTTCGAGAAATACATAAGATCTTAGTCACTCTTTAACTTCAATATTTGATAATTCAACAAGTAAAGAAGATATAAACTCACATGAACAGTGAATTTATAAGTTCCTGCACTACAGTTCTTTCTGAAACCGCATGAGATTCATTTCCCTTTTGAAGTGGATGGTTCATAACTTTATGACCAGCTGGTATAGACTTTAGTCCTTAAACATCTTCATTTTTGTAAGAAAACAATTTTTATTTTTTTCTAATCATTCATGCATTTTCATTTTTGGGAGATATATTCTCATTCAACAGAAACAGCCCTTTGAAAAGTAGTCATGAATATCAGATCATGCAATAATTCTAACGAATTGTTTTGTTGAGTTGTGTGCTTTTAGAATGTAAACCTCATGTTAGTTAAACAAAAAGGAACGAATTTTCACCTTCCTGCAAATTGGAATGGAGAAAGTGTTTTTGCCTTGATAAGTGTGTAAAGTTCTTTGTTTCTTAAACTTTAAAACAAACAAACCAGTTACNGACGAGAACAAGGAGAGCAAAGTGATCAGTGTAGATGCAAATGAGGTGTGGCGCGAAAGCTGTGAAGAAGAATTAAACATTCTATATCGGTTAAAATGAGAAATCGATATAAAAAGTAACTTTCTATATCACTTTTAGGTCTAACCGTATAGAAAACCTTTGTAATTTATTACAACTTTTCCACTACATCGCTTTCTATACCGATTCTAAGTCTAATAGGCATAGAAAACCTTTGTATTTTATTACAGATTTATCACCTTGTCACTTTTTATATTGGTTCTAGATCCAACTAGTATAGAAAATCTTTGTATTTTATTACAAATTTTCCACCACGCCACTTTCTATATTGTTTTGATCTAGAACTGGTATTGAATGTCTTGTTACAATCATGATAATTTCTATTTGCAATCATTATTAATTTGATGTTCAATCAAATAGATAATTTCCATATTCATATGATTTGACCATTTAATTTGAAAACATTCTTCTTTCAAAGTAATTAACGTTGTGAATCTTTTAATTCAATTTTGATTTCAAATAATCAAGTAAAATTACTCTTTCAAGTATTCTATCAATAATTATATGAAAGTAATAACTTAACCAAATTGATCAAGATCTTTTAAGCTCATCTGATTTGGGTAGTAGTTTGATGTTTCCATTCATCTAATGCTTTGATTCATTTGGCCAATGCATTTGTCTAGTTGATTTGAGGCTTTCAGTGTTTGAGTCGTTTGGTCAATGTTCATCTGGTTAATACTATGACTGTCATTCATTAGTCATCTAGGCTACTCGTCTAGTGAATATTATGACTTTTATACTTGAGTCTTCTAGTCAAGACTCATTTGTCAATCTTCTTTGTTATGATTCGTTTGGTGTATGTTCTCTTCTAGTACATGTATTTGTCTAGCTCGTGTGTTAAATGTCAGCTTATATAATCACATATTAAATATAACACAATAATGATTAAATATTTGTATTACTATCTAAAAAATATATTAATTTGCAATCATAGTTGTTTAACACTTTATAATATTGGTATCACTTCTATTTCCTCCTTATCTTTAATCTTAAAGAGACTCTGAACAATATTCTTTTAAGAAAGCAACATATGACCATTGTAATTTAAGTGTCTTAGTCTCTTATGCCACAGACAATATTTATTTTCTTCTCTTTGTCACCAAGTTGAGTTTTATGTTATAATTAAAAGAAAGTGGAAAGCATTTGCTATTTGTCATTTTCACAACAACAATAACTTTTCTTTTTGAATAAAACATTTTGTACACTTGATTCTCAAATCAAAGAGAATAGTTGTGCTCCAAACATTTTCCAATAATACTTAATGAATTTTAGTCTAATTTTTTCACATAAAATATGACGTTGGCACCTTGCTTTGATATGACACCAATTCTGCCTTTTCCTTATAATTTAACTTTGGAGGCAAATGAAGAATCCATATCACCAAAAGTATCTTAATCTCCAATTATATGATTATTGCAAGTGTAATAAAAAATAAAAAACATTATTATGTCCTTGAGTTGTCATTTTATAAGCAAAGAACAAGTTTCCTTCACCTTGTTTTGCTGCTGCTTAGGAAGATGAATTATGTTGTTTATTGCAAGGTGACAATCTTCCATTTCTTTTCCATTCTCAAACTCTCTTTTGATGTTTGATGTTGACCGTTCTCACCTTTAAATCTCCTTTAAATTATTGTTTATTGTAATAATACATTCTTCATACCAATAACTTGTGCATAAATCAATTCTAACTATTAAATAATCTCGTCATTTTTTCTTATTAGTTTTTCTTTTCTAAAAGTATTATAAAAAATAATCTACAGACGTATTATTTTCTTATGGGACCATATTCTAAACATCATATTTGGGTATACTTAAAAATTTAATATATAATACGATAAAATATATTTGGACGAGTCTTTCATATATTGGGTTTAATATTTGCGTGTCCATCAGGGCCTTGTTCATTGGTCAAAGTGTATTATGTCAGCTTGCATACCTTGATTTGAATTCCACTTTAAAATCTTTTTGGTTTCCCATTTGACTTTTCACAGCAGGAAGGTATAGCATACATATAAATTCAATTAAAATACTTGTATTCACCAATAATCTATATTGAAATCCCATATTAAAATCATATTACAATAGTTGCAAGTGAGGTAAATAGTAATATTTAACCCTTTCATTATGTAGCTGCATAAATGGCATTAAAATATAGCAGCCAACTTAATTTAGAGAATAAAATTACATGTTAATAAGTTACATTAATTGTATTTACGAAAATAAAATATTTAACTTGTGTCACATTTCCTTTTCAAAATTATGATTCTGTCATAGTGAGTTTACTATACATTCATTTTTGGTATAAAATCCAAGACTTGCACGCCACTACACCATAGAAAACGGGCCAGTATACTTCTACTTCTACATTACATTATGACAGCAATTTTTTTTTCTATATTATTTTTATAACTTAGCTAAAGTGTCTATGATCCTTTGGATGTAAATATATAGAAAGTATTGAAAATGGAGTGAAGTTTGAAAGGAAAAAATATGATGAGATAGGTTATATCTGAGTCGTAAAATAAAATATATGAAAATGAAAGTGTTTTTTTATGGTGAAAATGTGAAATTGTACCTAGTTACAGTGGAAATAGATGTGAGATCTAGGAATTGAACTGAGATGTAATGAATGCTGTGGTTACTTTCTAGTTCTACTTGTTTTTGCTTTACAAAAGGGCTGATATTCTCATCTTCCATTACGCATCCATCATAGGTATACCATACCTACTAAAACTGAGCGACAGATCATAGCATATCATGTGATAAGCTAGCTTATATATACACACAAACAAGAGGTGGAAGGGAAAATTTGCAGAAAATAGCTGGAAAAAAATATCTAATCTAGAATTATGCTGCTTTTCCATCTGCTATTCTGAAAAAGCAAGTTTAGTTTTATTTGCGGAAAGAGATATAAAGAAATTTGCAACAATAATATGGGTAGGGGAAAGGTCGAGCTGAAGAGGATTGAGAACAAGATAAACCGTCAAGTGACATTTGCAAAGAGGAGGAATGGGTTGCTCAAGAAGGCTTATGAACTCTCTGTCCTCTGTGATGCTGAGGTTGCCCTCATTATCTTCTCCAACCGTGGCAAGCTCTATGAGTTCTGCAGTGGCCCTAGGTACCCAAACCCCATCAACCTTTTTCTTTCTGTCACTCAGATTTTCTGCTTTTCTTCAACTTCTCGGGCTGTTTTCTTTTCTGGGGTTCTTGATTTTCCCTCCCTGCTTTCATGGGCTGCTTAAAGTTCACATCTTGCTGCTGATTAAGTGGTCTGTGCTTGTGTTTTTCTTTAGGGGTTTGTGTTTCATGAATTTTTGTTATGTTTGTTGTTTTCCTTTGTCTTTGGTTTCTGTGTCTGATTTGTAGGGCTTGATCAAGGATGTGTTGTTTGTTTACGGTTTTGTCTCTTCAAATTTGTTTTCATCTTCCTTACAATTTTCCTCTCTTTTTTCTTTACAGTCTCAGATTCATGCTTTTCGGTAGAGTTTTTATTGGAAAGCAGCTACTGCCTTCTAGATCTTTTTGATTCAAAATTTTAGCGTGACGATTCTAGTTCATACAAATTATTCTTCTCTAATTATATCTTCATCATGGTTGAATTTTAATTTATGGTTTTGATTGGTGATTAACAATAATTATATCAGTTTTTTTTTCATACATGTACTGAGCTAAAACATCTCATTTTCTTCTGTTTTATTCAAAATCTAAACTGTTGTAAATGGTTTTTCTGTATAATAAAATTCAATG